GGGGGGGGGGGGCGTCGCATCACCGAGCGTCTACTTGGGGAGTCGTCATCGTGTTGATTCGGGATTGTTGAGGTTTGATTGCTGAAGCTGAATTTACCGCAACTTACATGGAGAATCGTTCTTTCTGTAGTGCTGGGTGCTTGCTTGGTGCTTGCAAAATCCAGCGTATACATGGGGAACGGATGGTTGTGATTTGCTGTTTGATGCGATGTCGCTGATGTGTTTCTGGAGCGGGTGCTTGCTAACTCGAGCGTCTGCATGGGGCATGGCTGGTCGCTGATGTGTTTCTGGAGCGGGTGCTTGCTAACTCGAGCGTCTGCATATTGTATGGCTGGTTTTGATGTGCTGTGATGCTAGTATTTGCTGTTGTTCTTTTCTGCAACGTCGTTGTCGTGATGACATCGATTGCTAATAGCACTTCTACTGCCACAGTGGTCTCGGTCACCCTGATCGGCGCCGAATGCACATTGAAAAGGGCTGGCTTGGATGTGCTGTGATGCGCTGATGTTTGTCTTCAGCGGGTGCCCGTGTTAGCTGGTTCTGATGTGTTGTGCTTCCACCGACGTGTGTCTTGCACGGGTGCTTCTCAAATCGAGTGTCTGCATGGGGAATGTGCTGTGATGCCACTGATGTTTGCCTTGGTTGTGTGCTTGTGAAATCGCGCGCCTGCATGGGGAATAGCTGTCAAGTTGAGCGTTTATATGGAGAATGGCTGGCTTGGTTGTGCTGTGATGCCACTTTGCCTTGAGTGTGTGCTCGTGAAATCGAGCGCCTACATGGGGAATAGCTGGTTCTGTGGTGTGTTATGTTTCCAACGACGTGTGCCTTGCATGGGTGCTTCTCAGATCGGGCGCCTACATGGGGAATGCCTTGGTTACCTTTGGTTTTTGTCTAGTGGATGAAACCTTGCTGACGCGGCATCTACATGGGAAAGCCATGCTGATGTGACCGTGATGTGACCTCCTCGCATCGCACGCGTCCCCTTCGACAGCTGTGTTCCAACAAGAAGTGATGTGACTCAGCTCCATCACTGTAGTTGCAACTGTGCTGAGGGTTGTCGTGTCGTGGGCCGGGCATCACAGTTCTGGGTTACAGTCGCTTACAGCGCTTGTTGGCATGCTCAGCAGCTTCTTGGGCGGATGCGTGGCATGATGAAGGATAGCTGGACTCGCGGAGGCGCCCGTCCAAGCCGTTGCAGCCGGACCATGCCGACCACCCCTGAAACAGGAGCCCTCCAACCCTTCACCTCAACGCCCTGTTATGGTTATCTCCAAGATCTCCACGCAACCCGAGACAAGTCTTGTACCCAGGAAGCGGGGCTGCCCCTGGAGTTGCGGTTCATGGGAACCTCCCAACTTCCCAGGCCCGGCGTCCATTATGTGCTTAGTTGGGCATTTCCGAGCTCGTAGCAGTAGACGATTGCTTGTGATTCGCTATCAAAGCAAGCTGCCTGCCCTGGCAGGCTCAGCCGCATCCATTTCTTTGCCGAGAGTTCAGGTCATGAGGTGCTCTTGCGCTTACCTCTGGGGCGCTTGAGGAGGCTGGGTTGTCGGAACATGTGTCTGAGATTCCATACGTGAAATATCACCGCTGACCTGGGGCTGCTCCCAAGCATTCCTCTGAAGGCCACGGCTGTACATCTTCGGAATCAACTTCGACATCATGCGGAGGACCTCCATTCCGAATGCAGGGGACAGCCATGGTGCCGAGCTCGGACTATTTTAGGAGCGGGACCCCGCTGTCTCCACGCGACTTGCAGCTTTGAAACCTTGGAGAACCCAGGCGCGATGTACCTGGACCGTGAGCGGCTATGGTTGCTGGGCTTTCACACTCAGCTCACGAGCACGAGGAGCCAGCGCGCAGTGTGCTTTGAGCCACGCAAGCATCTGAGGCTCTACATCAATGCTCGAGGCACTGCCGTGGTCAAACTTGGGTGGAGTGTGTGGGGAGACTAGGATTCTGCTGTTGGTCTTTCGCATGTAGAATGTAAGACTGGTCTTCCGCCTGTAGAATGTAAGAGTTTAGCATGCTCATGGGCACGTTGCAGGGATGTTGAGCGACACCTATATTAATTGGCTGATAGTCCTGTCTGCCAGGTCACCGAAATTCAGCTAGCCAGGGACACATCTCAATACGCACGATTTTCTGCTGTGACGAAATAGCGGGAGAGTAGTATTACATTCGTCCTGTGCTGGCAGGCATGCCCGGAGGGAGTCGTGGACAAGGAGCCATTGTCCTGCAACTTCTTGAGGCCGCATATAACCCTAACCCCTGAACCCTAAGGCAGCAAAGAAGGGCAAAGCTTTGAGTCCCGAGTCCTCGGGTCCAGCGTCCATCGACAAGCTGTGTGCGAGGGACAATCTAGGACTTGGACGCCTTGTGTCCAAGAATCAGGGCCGGATGCCGCTTTACCGGACTAGTCAGAGTAGATGTGGCATGCCGGGACTCACGCACAGCTTGAGGGGTAACGAATCATGTTGCCCATCTGTTGGCATTCATCCAGTGGCTTGGCAGACGGTGTTCGCGGGCAGAACATCGCTCTGGGCCGCGTTGGTTTCATGGTAGAGAGCATGCAACAGGAGTTCAGTCTCCGGAAGATACGACTGTTGGTCCCACTCAGTCCAAACCTGTCCAAACCATCGCCGAACGAGATGCTGGAAGCATTGCAGTGCAACCAATGCAGTGCCAGTGGCTTCTGCCGCTAGAACCAAGAGTTTGCAGCAAGGTGGCCGCTTCAGAAGGGAAATCACGGCCGCAAACCGCTGTTATCACGGTGACGTTGCGTAGAAAAGATGCCGTGTGACAGTGTGTGAGCTTGAAGAAACACTTTGCAAGCCATGGACGCAGGTCTTCGTTGCTGAGGTGGCCCCCTGACCGCATTAGTGTTCTCTTCTCCCATGCAACGTTCGTTGTGCCTTTGTGTTCTGTGAGTGAGGAGTTAAGTTTGTGGCCGTCACATGCCTCAGTGCGTTCGTGATTAAAGGTCGCACAGGTCATTAAGACGGCGCACAGAGACACAACCACGCAGACATGCACACCAGATTAAACCGGAAACGTCCTCTCCAGGCCGCGATATTCTATTGCTGCTATTGCATGTTACGGCAGCGTCTTTCTTAGGTCGTCTTCGTCCCGCTCGAGGAGTTCAGCCAATTCAAATTCGTGGAAGACCTTGCGAGGCACAGTCGGGTTGACAAAGCTCAGGTATGCCCAGGGTTGTTGGTTCTGGTTTATTCTTAGTTGCTCTGGCATCAGCACTGCCGTCTGAGATTCTTGCGAATCGACATGCACTGTGTAGTGACTGCCTGAACGTTGCTATGCGAATATTGATCTTGCAGTTATAGACTGAGTTTCTTCATAATGCTCGCTGTTTCCGAGCCTGCCCAACTCGCACGGCTTCGGATCAGTTCGTGACGACGACAACGACTCACGGTAGTCTAAGCGAAGGGTATTGTTTCTTTCGACCCTTCGTAAAATAAGGCGAAGCTCCAATCATGGTTTCTTTTCCGGGTCTCTTCTGGAACCCCTTGTTTTCGGCTTGCTTTTGAGCTTTCCCTGGCCAGGTCCCTGAACGTCTCCGAAGACCGGGTCTCACTTGTGACTCTCGGACTTGGGCAGTTCGAGAGTGGAGGTGGTGAGGGCCGGGTGCCGGGATTGCAACTTTCGGCCGAGTGAGTCTCCCACATTTTCGGAGTCGTACCAGTAACAAAGAGCTCGCCACGATGCCGAAGTTTGGAGCTGAGGAACATCACGTACGATGGGCAGAAGTGGCTCGAGGGACCGAACGGCCGGCGATTGCGGATGGTGGCCAGAAGCCTACAAGCCCAGTGACGCACACCCGCCAAGAGTCCCGAGAACTCCGAAACCTGAATCAGCACAGCCCACCTCCACCTCGTGTCTCCCGCGTCATGTTTCTCGTCTGCAAAGAACTAGCGAAACTCACGATGTCGGCAACTGGATGTGCGTTTCAAGAACGGAGCGAGCAGGAAACATGGAAGAGGGCGCAATTCCTGTTCCCGGCAGCACAAAGCTCATTCGTTGTAGTATCTGGCCATTGCTGAACAGGATCTTTGCATTAGCTTCTGTCTCTAAGCTGAAATCCACGCATAGTTCCGTACAGTCAATGGACAATGAGGAGAATAACAGCCATGCTGGGCCTTTCTGGGTGGCAGCAAATTGCATTTCCCGTTACCCTTCGACACGATCGGTCCGTGACCCAGGACACCTTGCGGATCGAGTTTGAAGTCTCCGAGGACCATTTCTGCCCGGTTAGCCGTACCAGTAGCACGACGCAGCAGTAATAGTTGTCCTAGTAGCCAGAAAGTCATCATAGCGAGCAGAAAGCAACGACCAGCAATCATCGTAGCGGAGTAGGTTGCTATTGTCAATCAATACTGTCGCCAACATGTTGTTGGTAGTTGTTTCGCCACTGCAAAGGCATTGTCGTTGTCGCAGTGTCAATTCGCTCGCGGGCGGCACGAGGGTCGCCTAAGGTGAAGACAACAGCACTGGCAGGACCCGGATATCCTAGACTTGGCCGCCATGGACTCAGTGCTTCATGTCATGCTGACCGCGATCCTTGGATGTCGAGCCCGACTTGTTGTGCAGTTGTTGCAAGGTGGGTTTTGCAAATGTAAAGTAGCTTCTCCTGCTTTCCGGTGCAGCATGAGTTTTGGGGACCCACCAACAAGCCAGAAGTCCGTTCAAGAGTTTCATGTGCCTGGGCCGAGAATGCACTCTGCAATTCATATGACCCGAATGGTAGCGTGGTTGGAGGTCTTCCAGCATAAGGAGGGCGGCGTAAGATGCAACACCACAGGTACTTCTGGATGCGCCCTGGGAGTCCATGGGAGCCAGCGATGCTTTCTTTGAAGATTCCGTGGCCCAGGTACCTCCTGAGGCCACACTACAAGAACTAGATTCGGGAATAGGATGCGGGGTTCAAGGGCCCTGCTGTTCGGGTGTCCAGGCTTCGTTGAACCCCTGAATTCTGCTGGTGTCTACCGGTTGAGGACCGGTCTTTGCAGGTTCAGAGTCATGGTGCTTATGGCCGAAGGCATTGACGTGTGTTGCCGATTGCCGGGATTTCGGCAACCTTTATGCGGTTCCTCCTGCTGCTTAGAAGCTTAGACGCCGCGAGGCGCTGTCGGTCGCCAGCATCCGCAACCTGTCTACAACTTTCCAGGTGCACCCGCAATGCCCTCCGAGCCGGAAGGGGTTGGATGCAGCTCCTTGTTGCACTTGGCAGTCGGGGTGTACTTTAAGCACTACCAGAACACAAGCCGTCTTCCAGCCAACTCTTGCAGCAGAGACTTGCAGTGCCTTGCAAAGAGCATACTTGCTGGAAGAGGAACTGGCTTCGAAGGTTTGCACAGTTGCGCCCTTGGAGCTTGGACCGAGGCTGCGGAGTCTACGTTCATGCACATATGTGTGGATGGATTCTGAATCTCTCTCTCTCTCTCTATATATATATACATACACACACACATATATATATATATGCACGTGCACATATTCGTTTGTTCGTTTGTGTATTCATGTAGCTATATATATATATGTGTATTCATAGACATACATATATTTACATTACATTGCATTGCATTACACTGCATTGCATTGCATTACATTGCAGTACATTACATTGCATACATACACGTCGTTCAGGTACATAACCTACAAGACATAGGTTGTAAAGCCGGAAAGGGAGAAGGAGTAGAACGTCTAATGCTAGTCATGAAAGTCGAAGTTCGCGGCGTCTCGCCGAACGACTGCTCAAGTGGTCTTCCCGAGCCGAGCTGGCCAAGCCACCGGCTTCCGGGATTGTGGTGTTGACTTTGTATGTAAGATATGTAAGTTTAGAGGCACAACCAGGCAGTCGGAGCGGACAGCTGCACCGAAGTCGTTACTAGTTAGTGTGCTGTTGTCTTTCAGGGTGCCCGAGGCCTCTCTGCAGCAAGGCAACAGCCAGGAAAGACTCCAGTGAGCCTAGCAACCATCTACTCTCCTGACGGGTCCTGCTGCAGCCCATGCGTGGAAGTCTATGGGCAGCTTCGTGCTGGGATGCTAGGCTGCATTGCATGAGTCGGCTTATTCTGGAAGACTAGAAGCACCTTGTGTAAAGCCCGTGGGCAATGGCGATGGCACTGTGTGTGTGGGCAGTCATTTCTCTTCTCGTAAAGTCTAGCCAGTTCCTCGAGCACGAATGTGAGGGGACTGGCGATCCTAAAGGTTCCATGTCTCAAGGAATCGGCTTGTCTCCGCAAGGCAGAGCAAGGCGCCTTGAATTTCGGTGCGGGTCTCGGCTTTTCCGGACTGATTCAGCAGCCTGCATCACATTACTCAGCTGTGCGTCCCACATTGCAGACACGAACAGTGCAACCGAAGCATCTCTCTGACTGCCTGGATCAAAGCCGGCTGTTATAAGTTCCGTTGTGATATCCAACTTTAGGTCTCGAGGCGCATGGCAGAGGCAGGGGCATGCATGGCATGTAGTGCCGATCAGTTTTTTGCAGAGAGAGACAGAGACGAGAGAGAGAGAGAGAGAGCTCCTGTCCCCCAATCTAAAATCATGTCAGCTAGCTAACCCGACTCGAGTGGTGTTGCTGTTATGCTTAGTCTTCGAGGCCTTGCCATCGGTGTTGTGGGAGGTCGACTCAGTTCTGCAAGCTCTTCAGGTAGCCATTGGCTCTAGTTGTTCTCTGAGTTGTTTGAAGGGAAAGAGTCTACATCTCCACCGGCCCTTGTATAGCCGAGCTGATGGGGGGGAACCCCTCATCGGAGTGCAGGTGCGCGCCCGCACGCGAGGGGGTAGGTGTCCGCCTGCTCCCTCTGTCCTGGTCGGGAGAGAGAGAGAGAGAGAGAGCTAATGTCCCCCGCTGGTAGAAGGCGGATGCCATTAGTTTTAGGTAGATGCCACTAGTTTTTGGTAGGGGGGTTCGACTGTTCTGCCCTCATCGAACACAGATTTCACACAGAGAGCGTGACAAGCAGGGCGCGGTCGGCTGTCAGCTCTCTCTTTGACTGTGTGGAAGAAGCTCCTGTCCCCGACGAGAGAGAGGGAGCGAGAGCCGCACGGGCATGGGTCATGCTGGCCCCATCTGTCAGAACTTGCAAACTCTAGTGACTCTAGTGCTGATGTTTTTGGCAGATGCTCGTAGCTCGTCAGATGTTGTCAGCACCAGAAGGGTGTGCATTGCACCCTGCTTCAGAGCAGTGTTCGGGCAGGTGACCTTCGCAGAGGAGTTGGTGGACGGGCACGGCGAGCGGCAGAGTGGCTCAGGCTCAGATGCCGTGAATCAGATCTGGTCTGCAGCTGGAGAAGTTTCTGCAGTCTGTTCCGCTTCCTATTTCGACCTTCAATCCCCAAGGGCTTTGAATAGACGCCTACAGCACGTGTCCTAAAGCCTATGGCTACGCAGCCAACCCTTTCACCAGGAAGCACGTCGAGTAAGTCGGAGTTCAGCTCAGAGGACAGTGACTCCGACGATGCTACTCGGCTCTTCACGAAGGCTTTGACATTTGAGGGCGGCTTTCGGAGGGCGGTTTACCGGTTTCCGCCGGTTTCCGCTGGTCTTGGTTGTGTTGGTTCGGCCACGGCCATGACTGCTGCTGCTCGTGATATCATCAAGTCAGGGGCTGAGCGGCATTAATTGCAGCTATTGACTGTTTTTCATATTGCGTTCGCTTCATGGCACGCTTCTGCCCACAGCATCTATATGGATCCAACAAAAGCCTCGTGGTTCAGTTGCCGGAGCCTTCGTAACCAGAGTAACTAGAGTAGGTAGAGAAATTCGTACAACATAAAGAACCTTGCCAACTCTAACAGCCACACAGCCTTGGGCTTGTCTCGATGTCTCATGATCCCTCCCTTCGCTGGGACTCAGTCACACTCCCCCGCACAGCGCCATTTTTTTTTGCACGGCTCCGATGAACCGTGAACAACAGGGATGCAGATTCATGTTTAATCCTCGTCGGGCAAGCTTCCAGTTGCCTTGCGCTACTTCTTGTCGCTGCTTCAACTTCTTTCTGGTTTCTTCAGTGACCCAGGAGCAGGCGGAAGGATGGAAAGATGGAGATGAGGCCCGGCAAACGCAGAAGATCGCTGAGCGGCCTTTGCACGGTTACGGATTCGGTTTCTCCTTGTCAGAATTGGTCCGCTGAAGACTGCAGTGCAAACTAGATTTAACTAGCAAACACATCATTTTGAGTTCTAATGGTTCGTTGCGGTCGCTTCGAGCAGCCAAGCCTGGTGGTGGTGGTGGTGGTGGTGGTGGCGGTGGCGGCGGCGGCGGCGTGTTGCCGGCAGGATTGATGCTGCTCATGGTGTGTTGTGGCAGTACTGAAAGCAGTATTGGTATGTCTACTACCTGACGGCTACTGCAACGACGACCACTTTCATGACACTTGATGCTGCTGCTGCTGCTACTGCTGGTGCTCCTGCAGCTCCTCCTACAGCTGCTACTGCTAGTCTGCTAGTGCTAGTGCGAGTGCTACTGCTGCTACTGCTCCTCCTCCTGCAGCTACTGCAGCTCCTGCTCCTGCTCCTGCTCCTGCTCCTGCTCCTGCTCCTGCTGCTGCTGCTGCTGCTGCTGCTGCTGCTGCTCCTGTCCCGCTCCCACTCCCGCTACCGCTACGGCTACTTCTACTACTACTGCCACTGTTCCTGCTGCTTCAAACAGTGCTGGTGCTTGCAGCGAGCCGCAGCGACAGGTCTGACTTGAGGGCGTGAGGTTGAGGAATTCTGCAGCCGGTTTGGGATTTAGTGTTTACCCTTGAGCAAATGGTCGTGTAGCCACCCAGGTGTAGAACATAATAAGTATTCGTACCCATATAACTAGATAAGCGAAACAAATGCACCCATGTACGAAAAGCAGTAGATACAGATACAAACCTGCACACGCACAAGAAGAGACACACAGATGCAATGTGAGGCTTCACCCGAGCAGCTTAGCCGAAAGCGGCGGACTGCGGTGGACCGAGTGTCACGGTTCTTTGCAGTGCTGGAGTGACCGGTTACATCGTTTCCATGGTCGTAACTCTGCATCACCTACCCAGCATTCATTTGAGGTGCCCCAGCCCCCAAGCTAGGCCAGACAGCGTTACGAGCTTGCAAAGACTATCGCACCTGGCCTTTGAGAAGACATTGCCCCAGACCCGAAACTCCAAAATCGTGCAGGATTGAACATGCAAGCAAGACTTGCCAAGCCTCCCAATTCAAGACAGGCCACCAGACACATGATCGTGCAACAGTCGAATCTCACCAGGGTGGGGAGGTTGCCCGCTTGACAAGATGCTAGACTCGGACCCTGTTTTTGTCTCAAGCTTTGCAGTTCCGGCCTTACAACCCCAAACTCTAGATTCTAGACCCTAGATCGCATTAACGACAGCCTTTCAGAAGAATCGGAGCCCGAAACAGGAGATGCAGAAGGTCGACTTCACCCCATCTTGGGCTCAGGCTCAATCGGAGGCCCGGGAGATCTCCGGTTTCGTGCTCCTCGAGAGAACTAAAGCGTACAACACGAGCTTCATTGCTGTAATCCTTCCGTATCCCTCTATGATAAAGCCGCTCATGGCTGCAATGGTTCGGGTCCGGAGCTCTGTGGCTAGCCAACATCCAGAAGTGATAGCCCGAAGCAAACCGAGACCCCTCTCCCGCCTTGCAGGATTTAAGCCTCCTGAGACTGATCATCGCCGTGGGCTCCTCGAGTGAAGCAGGGCGAGTGTCTGTCGTGGAGTCTTCTTAGCTTTGCTTCAAACCTCAAAATACTAAAGCATAGAAGCACGGGGCTGATAGTGAAACTGTTTATGAGCACGTCAGCCAGAATAGGTCAGTCATCATCATCATCATCATCATCGTCATCATCAACATCATCATCGTCGTCGTCATCATCATCATCATCATCGCCATCTCTCAATGCCGTCGCTGGCGCTGTCGACATCTCCATCACGGCTGTGGTCATGATCGTCCCCGGCATCCGATGTGCGAACACAACCTGGTTCAAAGGTCCAGGTCGCTGTGGTGAGGACAACATTAAATACCTACACCCTAATTCCTGAACCGAAAGCCCCCTTACGTGCTGAAAGGGTGCAAGTCACAATGGACTGGACAAGCCAGGAAGATGCATGCTTCAAAAGTGCAGACCACATGCACGCACATGTGCAGAATATGTACATGCAACCGTTTCATTTTTGCATGTCCCCGAGTGCAAGTAAAAATGGGGATACGTTCGGAACAGAGCGTGCGTGTACTTATGCATGCATGCAAGCATGTGTGCATGCCGGCATGTATGCATGTGTGTATGTCTTCATGTACATGTATGGCTGCATGGACGCATGGATGCATGCATGTATGCATGCATGTAGTTGTACGCAAGGAGGCCGGTCTGTATGTATGTAGTTATGTACATGTATCTGTGTATGTGTGTATGTACCATGCGTACCTATATGTGCAATTAACAAAGCAAGTGCCTTTACACAGTGGAACTATCAAGCCCTCAACCCCTCGCGCCGTCGCCCATCTGCAAAGCACAACATGTTTTATAAGTGCTAAGGTCAACAATGTCACTGCCAACTCGGACAAGCCAGAGATCCCGACACAGGCGAATCCTTACAGACATGTGCAGATGCGTACAGAGGAAGAGAGATGGATGGACAGGGAGACATAGCCTTATGTGTGTAGACATAGCTAGAGAAGATGGTCTGGTGAGAGAGCAACTCTGCTTGTTTATTTGGTTTTGTTTTTGCTCTGCCTCTCTCTCTCTCTCTCTCTTCTCTCTCTCTCGCTCTCTCTGCTGGCTCTCTCTCTCTCTCTCTCTCTCTCTCTCTCTCTCTCTCTCGCTCGCTCTCTCTCTCTGTCTCTCTCTCTGTCTCTCTCTCTTCTCTCTCTCTCGCTCTCTCTTTCTCCCTCGTCTGTACGTAGTTTCCCATTCACATGTTTGGGGTGTGCATGTGAAAAATCATAACTCAGAACCAGAACACTTGTACGCCGTCATTGATAACACTATAGTATCCTCGAACTTGGGAGGGGACAGATGTGGCCGGAGCTGCTGCAGAGAAGCTCCTTCGATGTATCAATGCCATCGTGGAGGAGATCCGTCCTTGAGTCGCAACCCCTTAAAGGCTTAGAGATCTTTGTGGGTTGATGAGTTGGGCCGCAACGGTTTTTGTGTGTCAGAGTAGGTCACTTTGCGCTGTGCCCGTGGGTCGAGGCAGCAAATCCATGTGACTTGCTGCTGGCCGCAGGAGAAGCGTGCCCAGTTCCTACACCTGAGGCAACGTTCATGTGACAGGAAGCGCGAAGCTGCGCAAGAGGGCGTTCGTCGCTTTAGATTTTTCGGTGAGTGGGAAGATGCGGCACTGAACTGGCCAGGCTTCAGTGGTTGGTCTTCCATCTACACAGCAAGACCAACGTGTTCCCCTGGCATCGTTTTGGATTCTGACACGAGCGAGACTGCGGGACTGAAGGAGGGAGGGCAAGGCATGATCTGAAGTGAACATATGAGAGAGTGAATGAGAAGGGAAGGTGCAGAGAGTGCCCGATGTTTGGAGTGGATCTGATGGAGTCGCCACAAGTAGTCTCAATCCGAAATACAGGCTGGCGACAGCTGCCAAGTGTATGGGACAGTCTAGTGAAACTTCGGTGATTCGGGAGCTTCAGCAGCAAGGGACGGATTTCCACTGAAACCCCGGTGTGCAACTGTTGCGGTCTCCCTCTGAAAACTCGGTTGCCACAGAATCGAAGCAAGGCTGACCAAACACCCGAAAGCGCTTTCAGCAAACTACTTTCTCAAGCAGGTGAGTGTGTTTCCGATGACTTCAACCTTTCCACTCGAGCCAGGACCGAGGACAAATTCAAGCTGCCAGAAGCTTTGGAGACGCCTCGTTCACAACAAGCGCAGAATGCTCGGGAGGTGCTTCTGCCTCAACCGCATAAGAATGCTGTGGCACTGCTGTAGATCTCATGAGCTCTGGGCTACAAGTGTTATCTCCATCACGTCCCGATGTTGCATGCATGGCCGTGACCGAAGCAGTCTTCTCGTGATGATCCGGCTCTTTGAAGCAATTTAACTTTCTGCGTCCCCTACCTTGCTGCACTCTGTGCTTCGTTTGCTTCGTTGCCATGTCCTCCCCGGCAGACATGCTCCGGGACTTTGAGATGCTACGTGCACATCTGATGGCGGTGCTCCGTGCTCATGAGCAGAGCGGCGAGAGGGTCAGCTCTCCCAGATCGGCTTGGACTGGCGATGCAGCCGGTGAGAGCGAAGGCCCGACGATCTTGCCGAAGAAGGTCCTGGGTCTTATGGACATGATTGAAGAGTACAGCTTGAAGGGACAGGCCGTCTTCCAAAAGATCGCCGACTACGTGGCCCAGATGACCCCCAGTGAGCTGCAGGTTGCGGGCCGCGTTCTCATGGACACGTCGCTCCAGGCAGACTTGGCGGAATCCCACCACCGTCTCCGAGCCTTCAAAGCCGTGGTGTCTCATGATGACGATCAAAGCGATCTCGCCAGCCTCACCTGGAAGGGACTGCTGAAGAAGATGGTGGCAGAAGGAGTGAAGCCTGAGAAGATCCGCGAGGCTTTGTCCACACAGAAGATTGAGCTGGTCTTGACTGCACACCCGACGGAAGCCCAGAGGCGAAGCGCCCTGAAGAAGCACGAGGACATGCTGAGCTATTTGCAAAAGTATGACGGCAAGGACTCGCTCACCCCAGGACAGCTGCAAGGCCTCGATGACGATATCAAGGCTGTGCAGTGGAGCTGTTGGCGTACGAACACGGTGCGACGCACCAGGCAGGACCCACAATCCTGAAGCATTCAAGCCAATTGTCGATGAACATCAGTTGTCAGGTCAGACTTCGCACAATGTCCACACATTCCCAAACCCGAAAAGATCAACATCCCACGGCAGGATACTCCATTTGGAAGTTGCTGCACGTAGTCGTGCCGGGTGAACCTAGTTCCCGCACAATTGAAAGGAGCACGTGTGTGTTCATGCAGAGATTGTGGAAAAAACTGCATCGCTGCAAGGCCCACTCCGGAGGGAGAAGCGCGCAATGGCATGCTGGTCATCGAGGACACTGTCTGGAAGGCGGTGCCGGAGTACTACCGCCGCATCGACCGCTGCTTGAGGCGAATTGGCCAACCTCAGCTTCCTTACGGCTCATCGATTCTGAAGTTGAGCAGCTGGATGGGAGGAGATCGTGATGGCAATCCCAATGTGACGTGGCACACGACCAAGCAAGTGGTGACGCTGCTTCGCTGGCGTATCGTGGAGCTCTACTACCGCGAGGCAGAGAGACGAGAGAGCTGTGTAGCGGTGTAGCGTAGCGAGCTAGTTTCGTTGAGAGCTGTGCAGGTGGATGAGTTGCTTTACGAGCTGAGCATGACGGGTGAGACCAGCGAGGAGCTTCAGCGGGAGATCGAGGCAGTCAGCAGCATGTGGTCGGCCCCTACGGTGCCCGGAGGCAAGGTTTGCCGCCCCGACCAGCGTAGCGGTGTGCATTGGAACTTCCACACCGGCGTGGCCGCCGACGAGCCCTACCGAAGGCTTCTGATGGCCGTGCGCAGGCGCTGCTGGCGAACGAAGAAGACGATGGAGGCGTGCCGATGCGTCAGCTCACTGGTCCCAGCAACCTGTGCAGAGTGCAAGTCTTTATAGGTTCTTTTGCACCCTGCGGCAGGCCATGTACATGGGCAGCCACGCAGATTCGGACTTCGAGAAGGAGGTTTCCTGCTGCTTTTAAAAGCTGTGTGTTACGAGCAGCAACCCCACCGAGTTGAGACCCCAAATCACCTGGGACCTGGGAGGTTCTGACGTCCGTGGACGAGCTTGCTCGGCCCCTGGAGATTATCTACCGCTCTTTGGTGGAGAGTGGCGATGAGGCGGCGGCTGTAAAAGCGCACATGTAGGGGGTTCTAGCAGAGTGGGGTTTCGCCCTGTGTGTTTTTGAGGCGGTGGCCAACGGCCGACTTCTGGACCTCATCCGCCGCGTCCGCACCTTTGGCATCAGCATGGCCTGCTTGGATGTGCGCCAGGAAAGCGACCGCCACTCAGAGGCCTTGGAGGCGATCACCGAATTCCTAGGCCTGGGCAAATACAGCTCCTGGTCCGAGCAGGAGAAGTGTGACTGGCTCGTGAAGGAGATCGAGTCGAAGAGGCCTCTCTTGCCTGACGATCTCGAAGCCAGCGACATCGTCAAGGAAGTCTTGGCTACCTACAAGACCATCTCTGAATTGCCCATCGAAGCCTTGGGTGCTTACTGCATCTCCATGTCCCGGGCTACCTCGGATGTCCTTGCTGTGTGCTTGCTGCAGAAGATCGGAGGCGTGAAGAAGTTCATGCGTGTCAGCCCCCTCTTCGAGACCCGCGATGACTTGATCAATGCCCCCAAGGTGATCGACGCCGCCTTTAGCGTGCCATGGTACAAGAAGCACATTCAGGGCAGCCAGGAGGTCATGCTGGGCTACTCGGACTCGGTGAAGGATGCTGGAAAATTTGCCTCTACCTGGGAGCTGCATGTGGCCATGGAGAAGATCCTGGAGGTCGGCAAGAAGCACGGTGTCAACGTGACCTTCTTCCACGGCCGCGGTGGCTCCATCGGACGCGGAGGTGGCCCTCCTCACCTGACTCTCCTGGCCCAGCCTCAGGGCTCCCTGGAACGAGGCCACCTTCGCTTGACCATTCAAGGTGAAACCATTGGCCGGCACTTTGCCAGCGCTGAGGTCGCCGAAAGGACGCTGGAGCGATACTCCACGGCTGTGCTGAGGCACACCCTCACCCCACCGCCACTCCCAAGCCCGGAGTTCCGAGCAGCCATGCAGGAACTGGCCGACATTTCCGCAGAAGAGTACCAGAAGACCGTGTTCAAGAGCGAGAATGATATCTTCGTCCGCTTCTTCCACACCTACACTCCCACTTCCGAGCTCGGGCAGATGAACATCGGAAGCCGCCCCGCCAAGCGGAGGGCCTATGGAGGCATCGACACGCTCCGGGCCATTCCCTGGATCTTCGCCTGGACCCAGACTCGACTGCTTCTGCCGGTCTGGCTCGGCAACGGCCTCGCTCTGCAGAAGTACATCGATGCCGGGAAGCTGCCCCTCCTCCAGAAAATGTACCAGGAGTGGCCCATGTTCCAGTCCATGCTCGACCTGATTGACATCGAGCTCGGAAAGGCTGGGGTCCGTTGTCGTTTGTGGATCGAAACCTACAGACCTGGCGAACTGCTTATCCAGCCTATCATCCATCCGTCCAGCCATCCATCCATGCATCCATCCATCCATCCATCCATCCATCCATGCATGCGGGATTATGCATGCGTGCATGCATGCATACATACTTGTGGACGGCGGACGGATGTGCATACCTGCACACCTACCTACCGAATTGCCTTCCTACCTACTTACTTACCTCCTTGCCTGCCTGCATACACACACACAGAGAGAGAGTGCGTGCAGCCTTGCTAAGCCCGCCTCTGTTCCATGCTATGGGATGATCCCCGTGCAACAGCCCCACTGGTTGATGCCAGCGTGACATGGTTGCTGTGCTTGTTGCTGATGAGGGCTTGTTCTTCTTGTTATTATTGTTTTTGTTGCTGTCGTTGGCGTCGTTGTTGTTGTTGTCGTCGTCGTCGTCGTAGATTAGATTAGATTAGATTAGAGTAGATTAGATGGTGCCACCGCTGCCGCTGCTGCTGCTGTTGTGGCGCTGATGGCAAAAGTATTCAACATGATCACCAACTATTCATGAACACATGTACGGTGTCATCGTGCTTGCACGGAAAGCCTCGGCAAGGCCCAGCCAGACCTGGCCAAGCATTACGAGACCAAAACTTTGAAAGAAGACGACTTGAAGAAGTTGGCGCAGCATCTGCGTGACGGTCGCGCCCCCGGGGTTTGCATAAGCGTTGCTGACATCCTGCCATGCACCATATATCACGTATTCTACATGCCCTGTGTAGCTTTCGTTGCCTGAGTTCCGCCGTCTTCTTTCCAAGTGAACCGAACACCCCCTGCACGAGGGAGCAAAACGAACATCCAGAGGTGAAGCTTACACATTGTGGTAACGCTTTGCGGAGGCAAGTTTCTCAAGCTAGTCGTCGCATCACGGCTGCAGCTGCAGGTCTTCAGCAAGCTATCACGAACGTCCTCAAGGTCAAGGGTGCTGAGAAGCTGCTGACCAAGGACCCTGTGGTGAAGCAGGCTCCTTCCAAGCTTGTCATTGTTTCTATGCTGGAGTAGACACAGGTTCCAAATCAGCGACATGTTCTTGTCTCGAATGGCCTGTCACAGCATTAGTATTGGATGCCCTTGTTTATTTCATTTCCATGTGTCTGTGATGCTTATTTGCAGTCCATCGCGATGCGACGACCATTCCTGGACATCTCGCATGTGATCCAGGCTGACAGCATTTGTATGTGTGTGTGTGTGCGTGTGTGTGTGGGCGTGCGCTTGTGTTCAAAATTTACTCTTGCGGTTCGGGTCACAGGCATGTGTTCCAAGGCACTTGCATGGCAGTGTCTGTTTCTTAGGGGCTCTTGCGTCTCCAAGCTGATATGAGTATCGGACGAATCTCATGCACGAGACATGGGTTCACTATTATGCCGCTTTGCAGATATATTGTCTTGGTATAGGGGAGACCCGATGTCAGATGCCCGCTCACCTCCTTGACAGTATGAAATATGTCAGCAGTCCAATGTCCGAGAAGCGACAAGAGTTCAAAAGCACTCTGGGCCCAGCTTCTGCTTGGTTCATGCGAAATCTCAGCGAGGTTGGGGGTCTTAAATGATGCGTCGATACGACGGATCGTGTACCAGCCTCGTTTCCCGCTACCCGATCTGCCTGGACCGCAAGCCAAACACGAGACGTTCATTTGTCCTTTGAGGCATCTTTCCTGTTTGAGCTATCAAGATTATAGGTTTGGGAACGGATTGGAGAAACTCTGTGCAGCATTCATAGGCCTGTGTGTAAGCGGCTGGTATGGATATCGAGATGCCGCAACGCTCTAACATCTTGCATACGCGTAGCCTAGTCACGGAGATAGCGTTGTCATGCTAAATCACTGCACACCTCCGACCGCAAGTGATCAAAGCAAAAGCAATATGGCTGAACAGGCGGAAGTGCTCCAGAGGCTTCGGGATGCGCAGGCCAAAGACGAGGCCCCTGCTTTAACTTGGAGGGTTCTTATTTCAGTCTCGGGCTTGAGTGTTTCCAGCGTTTCGACCTCGGAAGGTTACCGAGGGTTTGGTGGGGTTCGGAGCTTTGGGCTTGAGAGTTGTAGGGCTTCGGGTTGCTTGCTCCCTCGGGATTTTTGGCTTAGCCGAAACACTACACGCCCTCTAAGTTCGACTCCTTGATCATCAGTGTTCGCCAATTTCGGCCGAAGACAAATGCCGGAACCGTGTAAGCACTTACCTCTCAGGAGCCGCCGAAGGAGCTGAGGGATGCCATGATCATTTCCATCCAGGCAAGTCCGGGCAAGAGCTGAATTAAAGACAACTGAGGACCGGGGACAGTCTGCCTTCAATCTTGTTTCCTCACCGGCATTCTGGCCTGTTGACAACCAGTCGCCTCAGAGGCATCCAATGTAGTTGAAAATAGTGTGTAATCCCAAGTAAGCAGAGACTTAAACCCTGCTGTGAAAACGCGACTCTCATCATCGCTTCCTTCAGGCCATCGCCGCCGGCATGCAGAACACCGGATGAGCGACTCAAGAGCTCGAGCTGCGAGGGTCCGAATCCCATCTCTGCGTCGCTTCGATAATATCAGAAAAGAAGCTTTTTATATGATTCTATATGTCCTCTACAGGCGTCTTATTGCAGCTATTGGATTGAAGAGCTACGCATTTTGCGGTACCAGCAGGGTTCCCAGTCCTTCACAACGAAGGGTGACGGGGCACGGGCCTTCGCATGCTCAGGGGGCAGGTCTGGAGGGCCTCGCCCTAGGTTCACTGTAGCCTTTTCGCCCACTTTAAGGGGCCATTTAAGGCAGTAGTCTAGTTCTTCAAGGAATGTGCATATTTTGTGTCTCCGTTCCTGGGTGTGGAAAGCCATTTTTTCTGGTTGGCTGGCTGGAGCCCAATCTCACGGGGATGTCCCACTGTGGACCTCGGCTGTTACCGGCCGAATTGCTTTGAAGTCACGTCAGCAGATGCCGACACTTAGCTTGGCTAGAGTGACTCCAGAAACAGACCAGATCACTTGAACCGCGATTCGAAAAGAGATGATCAGCCCTTGCATCGGACAAGAACGGAAGTTCGGCAAATTTCATGTGGTACAGCGCAGTGCAACACAGCACATATTCATCCGCATGCGTGAGCAGTTGTCGAGAGACTTGGAGAGTCCCGTAGCTCTCTCCTTTGCGGGAGGCCTGGTGGTGGAATATCACAAACCTTGGTGCCCAGATGAAGGACTTGATGGTCACAGGCCGGAGAAGTAACAACCAAGGCTTTCAAACAGCAGCTGCATCCTTCAAGTGCGGTCACATGCCTCACGAACCATCATCGTTCAGTCCCTGGTGTGGACTCGCACCTTCTTCATCACATTATCATCATCACCACCATCATCCTTACCAACACGACCAGCAACAACAACAGCAACACGCCGCCACGACAGCAACGGCAACGCACAGGAGCAACAACAGCAACAGCGATAGAAAGAGCAAGTAATGCCAACTCGGAGAAGGCTAAAGCACTGATGAAGGTTTACATTAGAGGACTTAGTAGTCTCGGCAACGCTGGCGAATGGTGACTGTAGTGCGCATGACACAGGCATGCCGAACACCGACAAACGAAACGGAAAAGCGAAAAACACGCTTCAAGGAGTTAAAAGCAGTACTTCCAGGTGATGCCAGTATCGATCGTAGTAATTGCTTTGAACTGGAAGCAGCACAGCGAGGGAAATTTGAAGGCCCTGAGAGTGCTTGCCTGCATGCGGCCTGTTCGGAAATGAACGACTGCAGACAGTTTCACGGCAAGCCAGAAGGCTAACTCAAAGCGGCTCCCACCGAGCACGCAAGCAAGCCAGTCCAGCAGCACTTGCGGCCTGATACCATGCTGAACACAGGCCGCATGGTGGGCAGCACCTACTGCCATGATGCTAGTTAGCATGTTCCTCGTTGCTGCGGCTATTTATTGTTAAGGAGGACGATATTGATGATGGTTGTTGGGTCATGGGTCCCCAGTGTTGCAAAACTACTGGTTCCTGAGATTGCACTGGCGGCGATAACTGTTCCCATGACTGCTCTTGTCCAGACGACCCCGCAAGCTCTCCGCGCTCCTCCGTCAACTCGCCACGTCCGGGCACTGCGGGTACCGGTAGCAAGGCCGGCCCCCGGGGGGTTTAGATTAGGGGTGTGTCCGTGTGTCCTTGCGGGTGTCTACAGCTTATCAAGGCTTAGACCGGCCCTGGCGAAGCCCGGAATCCCCCCCAAGCGAGTCTCTCAACGCCAAGACTAGGAGTCCCTTGCAACTACATGGAAACCGGGATCCGACCTTCTGGATGGCATCGATCTCTCGTCTGCTTTGCAAGACACGGCCCGGTCACCATCATTTCCTCTAGATTGAGTTCACAGATACTTGATGCGGTGTGTTCCCAACAACTTGTTGTTTGGTTTGCTTTAGTGGAGGACTCAGAGTTGCTTTCCACGGATCCAGACTCGTGGTTCAGTTTCGCTTTCTGGATGCGGGTCGGTTTTTGAACGGTGTTTGGGTTGTGGTCCGGGGCTTCTTGTCACAGGAGTTCCTTTGAGTTCTTTGAGTCTGCAGCAGCAGCAGCAGTAGTCTTTCTTCTGTTCGGACCTGCACGACTCTGTAGATCGCGTCTCGCGTTGTTGAGTAGGCTAGTGAGCTGATTGCTTGGGTAGTGATGCATGTCGCACATCTCCGGGCGGCTAGACCCAGCCTAGTCCAAGGGTAGACATAATCCAACAACTTGTTGAGCACAATCACAGCACGAAATTCCAAAATCGTGAGCAGCTGCATGCCCTCGACGCCCTCCGACTGGAGGATGCCAATATAGTGAGCCACAACTGCCTGCTTGCCCTCACCGCCCTCCCTACCCTCTTGCGTCAGCGAGATCGACCCACCAACACCATCAACATCAGCAGCACTACGTCAGCAACCACCCCCCCTTCTCATTGAACTCAACTGCGGTTCGATTCATTCGCAGTTCCGGTTTGCGGTTTCTCGAAAAGGGTGCCGGTTCGGTGCACGGTTGTGGTTCGCGATTCCCCAGCTTTGGAAACGCTTGATGGCTAACTTTGGTTCGCGCACTCCTTACCGCAGGTACCTTCCGTTCGTGGCGAGCCAGACGTGACCTTCAAGGAGGACAGCCTGGGGTTGATCAGCGTAGACTTGAAAAGTGATGCTAGTGCAGTCTAAGATCGGTCTAGCTCCAGGATGTATGCAAAACCCAGCCATGCAATAAGTCTGCTATCGCTTCTGAGTCTGGAAGTGAATTCCAGCTGTCTGTAGTTTCGTCTTGTCCATGCGTCCTCATCTGCTGTCTTCCTTCCGTGGGCATGTCAGTGAAGATCAGCATGATAGATGCTACAGGCATCTCAGAAACGGCTGCCCATACAATCGTGGACTGCGCTAGGAGCTTCCAGAGTCGACTCTCAAGCGTGCGGCAAAGGTCGCTGCATGTACACCCAAGCTCGAACGGAGGCACGCAGAAGTTCAGTTGACCCCTTGACCAACGTACTCCTATCAGCCGCTGCTTTGAGCATCACTCTTGGTTTCTGAATCTGGAGTTGACCCGGTCTTGGCAAACCCTTGCCCTCATGCCCCTGTCAGTGAAATTCAGTGAACCCTCGACCCTGGCAGTCGATTGCGCTGGGGGCTACCAGGGCCTTCCCAGTTCCCCAGTACCGTAGACCAAAGATGCAGCGCGAGGAGCGGGTGAAGCAACTAAGATACATATATTGATGCATCTGAGCTTTCAGCTGTACGCGCGCACTGCCCGCAGCGGTGGCCTTTCCCCAAAGGCACCGCAGCAGGAAGCTTGTCCCCAGAAGCACCTTGCCGTCTCGCGCCCCCAGTAACCACCGATCTCTGTATGTTTGACATACCGATGGGGTTCAGCAAGATTCGAGACCGTGGCTAAAGTGCTACTGCCACAACTCGCGGATCCCTGACCGTGCTCACAGCAACCACTGCTCCCTGCACTCTTGACGCACCGCGCTCGCATTGATGGGCCAACATGGTCGTCGACAAGTACTGCCGGATCCCGAAGCACAACCAACCTACTCTCCCCCGAGTGAAAAGCTGGCGGCCCCACAGAAATTCTGTCTTCATGCTTTCTCCTGCTGCTCTGAGCTGCACGCCCCATGGGTGCAGACAACGTGGGTGCCCGGGGATGAAAGACGTCTCTCTGGTCAGTGAGGTCGATTGAGTACCCTCTGCTACTGCTCGCTTATCTCATCCACTGCTCCACGCATCGAAAATGTCAACAATGCCAGTTCTGGGGCTGTTCAGCTTTCTGTGAAAACGACTACACCGACCTCCCTTTGCAAGGTTCGGGACTGCCGACTTATCTTCCAGCACAGCAGGGATGAAGAGGACTGACGTCTTGCATCATGCCTTGATCGATGCAAGGGATGTAAAGAGCTTTTCCGAGCGAAACCTTTCAACGCGGACTAGCTTCGGTCTCTACCCACCCCACCATGATTCTCCAAGCCTTTCAAGAGACCTTTCCATAGTGAAGACGGTGTCACTCCGTCAGTAGATGCAACCCCTGGTCATACAATGGCAAAGGACGCGAATAGGACTGAAGTCGTTGTGAACCCTCAGCCTTGCACCAACCCTGGAGAGCCTGAACTCTGTACACCTATTCAACACAGGTCAGAAAGGTAAGGTACCATGGCTACGATCCCAAGGCTGCCGCTCCAGTCAACAGACACGGAAGGCCAATCTGAGCAACACTGTTGGTAGTTTTGGTAAACAGGAAGCAGTTGAGCTGCTATCCGCCATTTCGCCGGAAGCGAGGTGTCATGGCGACCTCGTACCACGCTGAACCCGAAACCCTCCAGTCCTGAAGCCTTGAATCCTGCGCTCCAAATCACACGTAATCCAAAAAGCAACCGTGCGGTTCTTGAACCTTTCATCCTCAGAGCTTTTCGCCGCTGGCTCTGAGGAAGCCTCCCGAGCCCAGCATCTCCCCCGCTCGGCTACGGCGATGCTGGCGATTCTTGCTTCAGGAAGTAAGTAAGGAACCCGTAGCAGATCTTAAGTAGCAGGATCCTTATGCACGGCACGGGAGGAGGCAATGGGATTCATTCGGTAGGTTTCTGAAGTATCCTCCGACTGGTATTTGGAGTTGTGGATCTGCATCATCGCAAGCTTGGAACTCTCAACTTCAGCCAGAAGGCACTCACCAAATCCAAGCCGTGCATATACTGCAACAGAATCCTCCCTATAGTTTTTGTATCAGATGTCATATCTGGATCTGTATCTATATATAACTACAT